ACTGCGCTTGTGGTGAGAGCCTTTTGCCAGCACACTACCTCCGCCGTGTGAGTTTGACGACTTGCAATAAAATCAAATGCTACACCCTACATAACGACGATGTGCCTTGGTGCTACCGCCCTCTCCACGAGCATATACCCCACTTCTCGCTAAACAGTTAAATTTTGGAATTATGGCGTAAGTTGGTAAATATTGCGACTGGGGTTGTACTGAAGGAATAAATCGGGGAGGGGGAGGGTGGTTGTATTCGGAAATGTGTTCTGTTTACAGCTTCTATCGTTGCACCCATGTTTCACCAAGGGTGGCAAACGGGACGTTGCAGGTAGCGCCATGTGTGCAGCCTTTCCACCAGGGTCTGTGTGATTTGATAGTAGACTAACTAAGGAACTGCTAGATTGCCCAGCGCCCTACGCGGACGCACCCCCCCCCACTCACACACCTGCATCTTATCAGTAGTAAGTATTGAGGGGAGGGGGGCATTTTGCACTTTTGCCACTTCCCATCGACGTGTCGAGCCATCGAGAGAGCCTTCTGAGATTGACAGGTTTTATCATGGTGGCTGGACGAGCTTGCTCCAGCTTCACAAGAGTTCACAGGTTTCACCAGAGTGAGACTTGTAAACCGGAACTAGTGAAGCAACGAAAGTACAAAATGCCCCCTCCGTCGCCTAACAGCGTCTGTCTATGCTCGGTCATTCTACTGCCTTCTCCTTGAGTGTGTGTTTTTTTTATGAGAACTCGGGCCTGCTTCCCAAGGCGGCTATCGTCGAAAACAGACAGTTATATCCGCCTTGGAAAGCAGTACTTCTTTACCTCCTCACATTTCCGAACCATATGATATCCATACCAAAAATATTATTTTCATGATCGTAAATACATTAGAAAACCGTTTTATTCCAGGTGTTGAAAGAGTGGGCAGCCAACGAGATGGCACGTCTTCAGCAAGAAGCAGCTCGACCACCAGCCGTGCCACCGATGTTTAACACGTTGTTCCCGGCGCCAAATCCTCTAGCGGCGCATTTTGGCCTCAATCCACACAGTGAGTAATATTGTACAGCCATATGAAGCCATTAATACACCGAGTAATCGTAGCCGTTCACGTGGATTTGAGCAGTGCAGGGCGCCAATAACCTTCGTTTGTGCAAGGAAGGAAAAATGGCATTCAAGTAGAAGTTGAAATTGGATCGCCAATCCCGTTCTCTTTCCTTTTTCTGTATAGGTAGGAGTCCTCCTCACCGCTGTGGGAATGTCCATTTATCAGAAAGGATTTCCTCAGATTCCCAAGGTTTTTGGAGCCCACTGCGTAGTACTTTGCACTTGATGCCACCGTGTTGGCAAGCGCAAGCGCTTTGGTTTGAAGGGGCAGTGAAATGGAAGTCAGACAAGCTTTGTAAAGATCACTTCGTCGGAGGAGCGTAAACATACTGACGTGCACAGTAGCGTCAGTCGCAGCATTTCGCAGCTTCACAGGAGTTTGCAAGCCTTCTCAAAGTGGGACCATCTTGTTCAACATGAACTAGCAAGAGGAATTAGCGAAAGTGCAGAGTGGCCCTCCCTCTAAGAGGCGTGTCAAAGGGTTCTTGGTTAATAAGCGAGCGCCTGTATGAGGAGTGTCCATCATCGTGGACACGGCAGGTGGGCTTCCCTTCGCTTGGCCGGGTGACGTGTGCGCCTTACTGTATCTGATAATCGAACGGATGTTTGTATATAACCGTTTGACGAATGTTGTTCGGAAGTTGATGGCTTCCATCGAAAGAGAAGACGGGGAGTCGTATTGAGGGCCAGATTTTCACGCGTCATGCGAGGTATTCTGGTGGGAGGACCTGGTTGATCGCTCGTCCAGCGCATCCAGCGTTTTACTGTTACTGCACTACTATGCATTGCCATACAGACTTCGTACCTGTGGATGCTGGCGTGTCAAGGGAGGAGGGAATGTGGCCTGGCCCCTCTCCAGTCAAAGCTGGCAGAGGATCTGATTGGTTTTGAAAACTGTTTGGGGGCGAATCAGTACCCAGCTACCACTGAAACGCCAGCGTCCCGCAGCGCGCAAGACTGTACTACACCTTAGTTTTTATAGGCGCTATAACTGTCATATTGTCCTACACTTCGGCCTTACTTTATGTGGCATTGGCTTTAGTGAAAGCCTCACTTCAACACGTTGTAATTGCAGTGCCACCCACAGGAATCTTCCCGACTCCACTCAATGCGTTCAACTCCTTGGCGGCTTTGAATAAATCGCAGCCACCTTTCGAGGATGACGGTCCTAAGAAGAAAAGAAGCAAGGTAAGTTGACTAAGGGCCAAGCACTGTTTATAGTGAATGCATATGAAATGTTCAGGTAACCGATAGTGTACGAAAAATGAACGGTACACCGATGGCACGCGAAGGATCGCCGAGCAGTACAAGGAGCAGTCCAGTTGTAGGCTTTTTGAAGAACCTTGCTCTTGAAAAAAATATTCACTCAGTGATTTTTTTTAGCTTTCGCACTCAACGCCCCTCTCCAACTATTTTCCTCCAACTATGGTAGGACATCCGTTATGTGACGGTGGAGCGTCATTCGGCGAACGTGGAAGGGAGTCCGACAAAACTCGGACGAGACAAGCGAATGTGGTGTTTATGACAACGGTCAAAGGTAAGTTCAGTGGGGAACCACGCCCACTTGGTTTCAGGTCAGAACAAGAAAATCTATCTGCAAATAACTAGATCTCTCTTGTATCTTGAGTTTGAGTTGTCACTAGAAAAAACATGTGAGTAGTGTTTTCAATTTTATTCAACGTTGACAGGATGTGCCAGTTCATCTTCGAAAAGCCAAGCTGATGTTTTTCTACACTCGCTACCCCAACTCTAACGCTGTTGAAAGTCGTACTTCCCGGATGTTCGATTCAACAAGAACAACACGGCACAATTAGTGAAATGGTTCAGCAATTTTAGGTAGGTTGATTGATTTTTTCGTTTCAACTGGCTTCCGAATAGAGCATCGTAAAAAATAATGAGAGAGTGAGGAAAATTAAAGCAATGGAAAGAGAAAATTGTTTGACATCTCTGTGCTGACCGTTAGCGCGACATTGGTGAGTAGTGGAAAATACAGTAGGTGTTGTTTGCTAGACTACACAAAAAAGTATTTTTAGAGAAATTCGGAAATTGGAAGCGGTTCAAAAATGGGCGCTGTTGGGCTTAGAGGGGGCATTTCGCCGTTTTAAGTTTCCTTGGTTGGTTCATAGTAACGTAAAGCATGTCTATATTAGGTCAGACCTGTAAACTCGTGTGACGCTGCTGAATTGTTCGAGTGAGCCACTTTGGTCACAGAAATTTGCACATTTCACGAGGAGACTTACACAGGCTTAATTGGCTACCATTCGGCACGCGTTGGGGGCCCCGTGATCCCTGCCCCCCCCCCAACAAAAACACTGCGGAAAACCTTTCAGTTTTTCGTGGAGTTTCATGACTAGATTAGCTGTAATCCCGAAGGAGTTGGAGAGCTCGCGTGTTCGGTTCGAGAACGCGCAGAATGGGATCATAGACCTTGGTGACCGCGTTCGTCTCACTGAGTGATTCAACCTTGCACGAATCCCAACTGATAGCGCGAGCTCCGAAGCGCGCTGGCTGATTGCGCGGCGGCTCACGCTCCTAATCGTTGGAACGCTACACAACACTCAAAGGAAGTTCAATCGCTAATTCTGGTATCAGCTGTTGGCAACTGTCCAACGATTACCAATGGAAAGTGGTCGTCGCCAAACGCGACTTCGAATCGCCGCTGCTGAAGTTCACTTGAGCGCAAAGTATAAACACCGCCTCACTTATGCAGGATCTCCACCTTCTTAGAAAGCGCTTGCATAAATATCAGCTAATCACCATGGGCCAACATATGAATGGAGCAATAACGCATTCAAACAGTTCTCACTTTTGAGTAGAAGTCCGAATGTATGGCAGCACTTCAGTGTCGCTTTGAACCATTAAGCATATTGAGAGTAAGAGTATGAGAGAGGTTTTCGATCGCGAGCCGTTGAATATGCTTCCTGAGGTCTGAGCCGGGTGGGGATTGACGAAATATTAGAGGAATTCTCAGAAAGCCAGCCAGGGTCATGTTACGTAGCATCAACTACGAGCTTCATTTTGTACTTGAGATCTGTATGGAAATAATGGACATATCATTGAACTCGTCCATTGACTCCGAGGAATTAATTGATGAATGAGTGTGTCGACTTATGGTCCGTCGATTCGTAACCGATATCATGAGCGATTTTTCTTGGCAATTAGCATGCTTAAGTGTGTAATGCGCGGATGTTGTCGTTCACGCCTTATTGGTGTTCGTTCGTTATTGAGGTGGCATCCCGCTGAGTCAATGGCGTACGCCCATTGCGATTGACAGCGCGATAAGAAGCGACGAGACTTTCTGAGATTTATGAAGACGTGCGTCACATGGTGTGTCAGCGCGGTAGAATTATGTCGATCAGGGGAAAGAGATGGGTGGATGAGGGCTTGGAAGGAGGATGGTTATTTTTTAACTGTACATGGTTATTTTGCTTCTTTTCGTGTTCGTGTCCCACAGCGGTTCGCCAGTAGGTCGCGCCCGCGGATGTGAACTATTCACCCGTGGTTTCTCTGCTCCTCCCAAGGAGGAGTACAGGGGGGCCAAAAAAAAGTCATTTTGCCTCCATGACTTTCAAGGCGCTATAAGTTACACTTTATTAAATTTTTATCGGACATTTTTACTACCATATTAAAGAGCACATTAAATACTATAATGATACTCCGCCACAGCCTTCTGGACGAACGCCATCGAGAGATTCTGGCACGCGACGCCGCGATGTGTACTGAGATGCAGGCGGGGTAAGTCGATTTCTTCTGCCGCGACCGGTAAGACACGGCTCATTGATCCGCGCCGAACTAGGTAATTGGAGTGGGTCAGGTAGGAGACATCCCTTCAATATTACGATCTTCTCAGGTAAGCGAAACGCCCTTCCATTCGAAGTAGGTGGGAGTTTTCCCAAAACCCTTTTGATTCCATGTGGTGGCACCCAAACCTGTAGCAGCACAAGGTCTCCAAGAAGGTACGGGCGACCACATGTAGGGAGGATATTCTTCTCGAGTTACTTGATGTAACCGCCAGCGCTCACCTTCAGTCGGGGTCTACAAAGAAAATATCGGTCTTCCCCTTTCCAGGTACCCCGGTCCATACCATCAACTCGCGCCTCGGCGAATACGGTGAAGATGATGTCCTAGACCGTAGCGAAGTTGACGAAGCTGCTCGAGAGGTCTTGCAGATCAAGAGTACTGACCTCCAGGTAGCTATCTGTGGATGACTTCATTCAAGAAGTTTCGCAGCTGTTTGGAGGCGACGTGAATTCCAAAGGTGTTCTCCAGTCAGGCCGCGACTGGAGATGACTTCATATTTTGGCGTACATGAAGGCGATTGGCGGCAGCCTGCTCCAGCTTATAGAGGAAGATCTTGGGTATCTTCCACTCTGGTACTCATATCCACTTCCCCTGTCTGGGCTGCGAAAACTTCGTTGATATGTGACTTGGTCAAAGTGACTTTTTTTTTTGGCCACCCCTGTAATTCTCTACATGGCTCTCGTTTATTTGAAAGTTAAAGTTTGTATTTCCTCTGAAATCAACTTGATTTCCGTTTGGAGAAATCAGGCACTGGACGACTGCTGGTTCAGTTCCCATACGCGCATTGAATATGGGCGACTTACGATACAGGGAGAAAAGGGTCTTAGAGCGAATTTGTCACGCTCTACAGTAATCCCATTGCAAGACGACGTACGCGCTCGTCGAATTCGACGCGATTAGAATCTGATCTGAACCGCCAGTCGCTGTAAACTTTGGACGGTGAGATGGCGTACACATCCGGGCTGATGGATCTGGGAACATTGCAACGTTCCAGAGATTTCAGTTGGGAAGGGTGGTTCTGCCTTTTTTGGTAATTTGCCCGAGATCGCCGTGAGCTGTTCCCTTAAGAAGAGCTCCTTTTAGGCTGAAAGGGCGCAGCGGGAAACCTCATCAGTTTTACCTGCTGTTGTGCAGTTGCCAATTTTTCCCTTCAATTTTTTTTCTTAGTACCTATAATTGTAATCTTCTGGTTCAACTCGAAATCGGTGCTGTGACGCACCGTTAGAGTTGCCCTAACGGCCAGAATTTGGTCGTCATGTGGTCTCACTCTGTGCCTGCCCCTCCACCCTGGTTGACAAGTTCCTTCGAGATTTGCGTGCGGTAATCGTCCGCCCGAAACGATGTCGCGTGGCATACGGTAGGCTGATAAGCGGATCAACTAGCGGGGCTTAGAGTATTGTCTATACAGCGCCCAGAACCGGCCGACGGAGTACTCGTTTCGGCAGAAGTCGGTATAGGTTGTGGCGAAGAGCGAAAGAGAGCGGGGAACGAGAGAGGAATCCGCTAAACGTTACCCACTCAACAGGCTAAAGCAATACTCAGGTTTCCGTCTGAATGAAATGTGATCCGCTGCGTTTGGAGCGATTATGGTCAAACCTCCTGTTCTCGCCGGTGGCCCATGCCGAATTCGGCCATCTAATCAAACAATTCGTACTCAAGGCCGCGTCACATATAGAGAGCACCGCCGGATTCGATTACATACACCTATATGGACAGCCTTGCCTTGACATAGCTCTCAAACTGAGGTCAGCCCGATTTCAACGAACAGGTGTTGAACGCTCTTAGCCTGACAATGCCGCCGTTTGACAGTCCGCAATTGTGGAACGGAAGGTGAAATGTTGAGACGTGATTCGTAACCACCATAGCAAGGTTGGGGTCTTATAACGGAACTGCCAGTCGTAGCTATATCGAAGTATTTCAGCAGAAAATCTGTTATAAACACTGAAATATGTAGCACAGTATAGCAGTTGCGTGGACCGACTAGGACACTGATAACCTTGAGTGTGGGGGAAGGGGGGGGGGAGGGAAGAGGGGTGAGGGGGGGGGGGGGGGGGGGGGGGGGGGGGGGGGGGGGGGGGGGGGGGGGGGGGGGGGGGGGGGGGGGGGGGGGGGGGGGGGGGGGGGGGGGGGGGGGGGGGGGGGGGGGGGGGGGGGGGGGGGGGGGGGGGGGGGGGGGGGGGGGGGGGGGGGGGGGGGGGGGGGGGGGGGGGGGGGGGGGGGGGGGGGGGGGGGGGGGGGGGGGGGGGGGGGGGGGGGGGGGGGGATTCAAACGCGCGAGTGGACTGTCCTTCCGCTCTTATCCTTGCACTAGAAGCTCTAAAAATGCTCCATGACCCAACTTTTGCCTGCCGACTTGGCGGAAAAGAGACTTGCCCCTCTTCTCAATATCAATTGTTTATTGATTATTGGCCCGTTGAACCAGAGACACGTCCTTTCCTTAATTGAATTTTTGAATACAACCCCCCCCCCCTCCTGCCCGCTCACAATTCCCTGCTCTGCTACGACCTACCCTTCTCGTGTCCGTCCATCGTGCTACCATCTATCAAAAGCTTCTGCATTTCGCCGGAGTTTTTTCCAACCGCCCCCCCCCGGCACATTTTCCTCGGAACGATGTTGGCTCTTCTGGAGCGGATACGCCCCTTCTCAGACGGGGAACGTTTCCCAAAACTTATTATAGAAGAGGGGGTAAGCAGGTGACATGTCTGACAACAATCAGAAATATGTAGTAGTTTTGCAGCACTGACGCCTAAGAGAGGGGGCGGAGAGAGAGAATATACACCTTAGGGAAAAGTCGGGAAGAGCCAACATTCAGTATATTTTCTATAACAAAATACGAACCATCTCCCTCTCCCCCCCCCCGCGCCCTTCCCCTTGGCATTTCTAACGTACGATGTATAAATTGGGATGCAAATAGTTCAGCTCTAATCAATATCCTATGCATCAGCTCAGATTATGTAGCGCCCAACTCTAGGCTGAAAAAATAAAAAAAAATAACGAATTAATTCTATGCATATTGAAAACCATGACAGGATTTCTTTCTGGACCTTTTCGTGATTTCTCAAATTAAAATCTTCAGAGAGTTCTACTACATTCAAATGGATAAATTTGCTCGTCAAGCACTAGCCGAAGGTCATTCAATCCAACGTGATGACATTTGTGGTCACAATGGAATCAGAGATATTCCGAACTCTAAATCAGCACTACAACAGAAACAATCACGTACAGGTATGTTATGGGGCTGTAGGCTGTCTTCATGATATCACGACAGTCTAACGAAAATCGCCTTGTTTTAGCCTCCAGAAAATTTGGTGAATGTCGTACAAGAGTCGTTACGGGAATTCTTCGATGCAATTCGCCTTGGGAAAGATGCTGAGCCGTCATGGAAGAAGCAGATCTACAAAGTGGTTCTTATTCTATTCAATTAGACAATTACGAGCATCCTGGCCATCCTGGCCGAAATACGGGTCCGAAAAATCGATTAACATGACCATCCGAAAGGCAACAGATTCGTGAGCCAACTCAAAGAAGAGAAAGAGACGCTTAGATGATTCCATTCTGAGACATGCATGCTGCCGGTTCCCCTACGTTGCCCACACAAGCGCTTGCGCGCGACGGGAAAGGGGGGGGGGGATTTGCAACTCTGCTACTCCACGACCCTGTCGCAGCCATCACGTGGAACACCGGTCAAATCTTTGTAAAGCAGTAAATACCATACACATATCATTCACCGCGCGTGGCGAAGAGCTTTTCAAGAGCTCCAGCTTTTCAAGAGTCAACAGGTTCCGTTAGAGCGAGACTATAAACCGGACCTAGTGGAGCTGAAACTACAAGATGCCCCCTCTCCTCCGTTGCCGAACTGTGCAGCGTTTCATGTACTGAAGAGAACCCCACTCGCGAGTAACCTAAGGTGACGGGTGAGCCTTACTTGTGGTGGCACAGCAAAACAGGTCGTTCATGTAGCTGAGAACGCCACTCGTTCGAATAACCCTAGGAACGTGGCCCTAATCGTAGTGGGCAAGCAACAGTTTGAAATTGGTAGTGCAGTACCTCGTGCGGTAATTGCTTGTACCAATGATTACGCCCGGACTTGTCTAGTCAGGGCACTCATGGTTGGGGATTGCGTCAAGGTCCAGTACGCCCTCCCCTTTTCATTTGGGGGGGGGGGAGGTTGGTACGTACCTCGCCCCGGCCTCTGCCCCTTTTCATCGAATGCGAGCCGTTGTGAAACGGAAAAAGCTGGCGATAACAAGTACGACTCCCCCCACCCCCCCCTTCTACGCATCTCACGATTTCCCCCAACTTCCTACCACCGAATTTTTCGGGGAAACTTTGCCTACTTTTTCCCAAGAAATTTTGCATGTCGAGCAGGGGGGGGGGGGGGCGGGGGGGGGCGGGGGGGGGGGGGGGGTATATACTATGCCATGAACCGGAAAATCACGAACCAGTCAATACGCACGAAAAATCAAACTGTAAAATAAATTTTCTCAGCCCAAATACGCCTCGCGTTGGGATCCCAACAATGTTTAAGTGGCCCTGCTTTCTAGTACAGGCGTTAATTGAGGCCCATCTCGTGCTGGTTATATGGGCGGAACAGACGTATATTAGCTATTCCACGCTTCTCCTCTTCACCATTGAAAGGAGTGGACCACCAGTGGAGGAGCGCACTTGTCTAAGTTACTCCGCCCATGTAATTGGTGCGGTATGTGCTTTAAGTCCGGGCGTCGGCGAGAGGAGGTTCAGCTCTGTGACCGTGGCAAAAACGGAGCGATTTTCAGCGATAAGGAATAACAGTTATAGTTAACAAAATATTTCACAATATTGTGTCCTGCAGCAGTATCTAATTTTGGCGCAGTTAGGCTTGATGGGGGCATTTTGTTGGTTTCCGTCGACCGCTGTCGATGCCTTCTTATGGAGGCCTATAAATTCCTGTAGTTCAGTAACAGAAAGTTTCGCTTGCACTTGACAAGGGTTTACAGAACTCACTATGGTGAATTATGTAACTTAACAGAACCTAACGAAAGAAACTAGCGAAAGTGCAAAATACCTCCCCTCTAAGCCGATCTGCGCCCTAATTTTTATTCATGCATAGAGTGAGCCACTAATCTGCTGTTTTTTAGGTGATCAATCGATTAGACGATCAAATACCCGAGTATTTCAAAGATCCGAATTTTCTCGAACGACTCGAATAGCCCGAATGACGTCACTCACCCTTTTATGGAAATGATACTTTACACTCATAATTTTTACAAGCACAATCATTGCTGTGATGATTTATTCCATTTTCATTGAATTGTTATTTTTTGAATGTTTTTATTTTCTTTCCAATAGCTTTACATAATATTATCTAGTATTTTGCTAAGCTCTAAGTCATGCGTTGTGCAATCGATGCAGGAATCGATCATTTCTATCAGATAATCAATAAATCGCAATTTTCTACATATTTTTTTCATATGCGTTGTGTTTTCCTCATCATATTAAAGGTTGTTCAATCACCATTGTGCCTAATATCGATCTTTTCGCCCTCTCTCCTTGGAACACGTATTGATCGGATCATTTTTCGTCTCATTATGATATTGTTCATTACTTTACTACATGAAGCATTCCTTTGTACAGTACTTTACAACTTCTATTTCCTTCATTTCTGCAAATTTCCCTTGCCACTCGACGGGGATGCAGAGTGAATTCTGCGCTCCTATGAGAACAACAAAGGAAAAAGTAACATAGTCTTTGTATTTCAAAAGTTTCTTCTTCTTCATTACCAGTATCACACATACACAGATATTCCAGTGTTATTATGCGAGTTCCGTCTATAATCAATAAATAAATTTGAGCTATATGGTTCGGAGGGGTCTGTATCGATTGGTCAGGCCACGTGACGCGTAAAGGTGATAGTACGAGCG